ATCAACATTTGCCAGCGGACACATTTATTTCCCTGAAAGAAAACAAACAGTGACACGAGTGCAGTGTGTTTTAATTTTACATTATTGTGCCACTTCATTTATTTGGTGTTTATGTGAAAATAGTGGAAAATGTCAAATACTGTTAAAGACCATGATCTAAACTACTCTTAAGTCATAATTTGTCAATTCTGCTACAAAATGTATTTATAAGCACAGACTGACGATACAAAAAAATTTAGATCGTCATGTTTAGGTGTAAAGACGGAGATGATTTTTTTTTTTTCCTATATTTGGGATCTTGGTTATTTCACGTGACTTCGTCACATCTTTGTATGATCCTTGTTCTGTTTCACCTTTGTTTTTCTCTCTCTCTTAAACCAAACCTAACTGTGGTTTCCAGGCTCGCTCTGCTTCATCGTGATAATTCTTCACCGTCACATTCATAAGTTACATTCATACACTGATGTCACACGTAGTCTTCGACGTCAGCGCTCGTTAATTGTTGTGTTCTGTTTGTGAGGATCGGTCGGTTTCATGCTCACGGTCACATTTGTTAGCATCGGTTTCATTGTTGATATTTTCCGTTGAATTTATAAATGTAAAAAAAAAAAGTCAGTGCGTCTCTGATGACTGATGTGTGTGTGTGTGTGTGTGTGTGTGCAGGAACACGTGCACATCAGTCCAGTGGCCCCGTGCACATGTCTCTGTCTGTCTGTCTGAGACTTCCTGCTTCAGCTGCAGACTGTGACCTCCTCATCCTCTCCTTGTCTTCTCCTCCTCCTCCTCTGACGTGCAGGGCGTCGTACGTCAGTGTGTACTCCGTCTCGTCGTTGTAGTCTGGTCCCAGCATGGTCCGTGCCCACGTGCTGGTGTCATACGGTGGCAGCATTCCTCCGAACTCTGAGGGCAGAGACTCGGGCTGAATGAGCTGATGGAGCGAGTTCAGGTTGTTACCGTGGAGGTAGATCTGAGGAGGCACAGGGGAGAGGAGAGAAGAAAAGGAGGAGTAAGGCCATTTGTCACTGCTGAGGCTGATGTGAGGCAGAGAAGGAAAGACAAAAGGTAACAGGAGAGGAAAGAAGGCCAGGAGCAGAGGCGGTGTTTCTGAGGAGGAGCTCAAGAGAGGAGAAAGAGACGGTACAGGTTACTGCAACAATAGCAGCTCCAATACGGAAGGACAAAGGAGGGAGAGATAAGGGAGGAGAGCAAAGGGGGAGCAGGAGGAGGAGTAAGTTTAGTTAATTACCATTGCTTTAAATCTGAGGAAGAGGAGATGCAAAGGAGAGATGAGGAGCAGAGTAAAGAGAGGAGAAGGTGAGTAGAGAGGGAGAAAAAAATTAGTTCAGGTTATGACAGTGGACGTTGATCTGAGGAAGGGATCTTAGAGAAGGGTGAAGAAGAGGAGGTGCAGTGTTCTCCTCACTCTACAGCGTTGATTACATAGAGAGGAGGTGCAGATGATATGGAAACACAGACGAGGTGCTTCTCACCCAACTTCCTGGACGTTGAACATGGCATAAACAGTGGAGAGGAGATAATGATGATGTTGATGAAGAGAAAAGGAGGTGTCACTGTTGAGGAGGTGCAGAGTGCTCCTCACATTCTTTGTCTCATCTTTGAGAAATGGTCAGATAATGGGGAGTGTGCTGTGAACGGTAAAAACAAGGTGTTGATGACAAGATGGCGATGAGGAGGTGGAGAGGAGGCGCCGGGTGCTCCTTACCCTTTTCCTGGTCTTGTCTTTGAGGAAGGGCCTGATGATGGTGAACATGGCGTGGATGAACCACGGCTGATTCACAAAGTGAATTCCTCCAAAACGTGCAGGGAAACTGTCCTGAGAACAGAGAGGAGGAGCAGGAGGCGCAGTGAGGTCACTGCTGCATTTGGAAACACACACACACACATTCAGAGTCAGCTGACTGACCTGCAGACCCTCGATGGCCAGTTTAAGAATGTTGGGCGTCAGCTTCGACGCCTGTTTGAAGGAGAAGTCGCTCCAGTCGATGAGGAGGAGGAAGCCATGAATCTGCTGCTCTGGCTTCTCTATCAGCACCTCCAGAGAGAGCAGGAGAGCACGCAGGATGTCTATGAAGGAGTTCCTACAGAGGGAGGGCGGAGTGAAGAGGAGCGAGGAACAGCGGGAGAGTTGTAAGTAACGATCAGAAGACGATCAATAAGGTAACAGAGTGTGACACTGACAAATCTTTACAGCACTGAACTCTCTGTGTGTGTGTGTCACCTGCTCTGATCCCAGTTAGAAGCGAACAGGATCAGGATTTTTCTTCCATGTTGGTCCGGAGTCTCTAGAACACCTGGAAAACCATCAATCAACGCTCTCTTGATCCCTGGATCATCAACCTGTCACACACAAAACACACCAACATCCATGGAAACACTGCACCAGGAGGAACCTGGAGGTACTGTACGTAAGTGTGACACAAAAATCTAGGACACTAGAAAAAGTGGTCATCGCTTTATCCAACTGTTAGACTCATTTTTCCTTTTCCTACATTTTTTTTTTTTTTTGAATTGTTCCTTTAAACCGTGTCATGTTTCTCACCTTGAAGCTCTGGAACATGTCGAGGTTCTGCTGCCTGAACTGGAAGTACTGAGCCAGCAGCCTGAACGTCTCCACCTGGTCAAATTTCCTCGCCCTCAGGAAGCGCAGGATAAAGTCGTCGTCTGTTCGCAGGAAACCGATGTCAGGCCTCGTCACGATCATGTCCCTCACCTGGAGTGAACAAGGCGAGCGATAACATATCTTATCTAGAAGCAGATTTGGAGAGAGTCGAGAGTGTGACAGTTCCGTGGCTGACCTGTTGGATGTCATGGTGCAGCGTCTCGGGGTTTTCGTTCAGCTCCAGTCGAGCCTTTTCTGTCGTCTCCACGCTCAGGCCAGAGTGCAGTGGTGACATCATGATGATGTCACTTTCTCTTTCTTGTCCAATGTCAAATTATCTACTCCTACTATCGGTTTTCCTTTCCTGTGATTCACTCACAGATCCATCCTCCTCCTTTTTCTCTGATCCATCAATTTCACTTTCGGCTTTACTACACTTTGAATCTGCTTGTCGGCATGACCACATTGGATTACATTGGGGTCAGAGGTCAGAGATCAACGGTCAGATGTGGCAGGTCAGTCTGAGGGAGGATTCTTCAAACTACGAGAGAGGGGCGGCAAACAACACATTTAAAAGCACATTGTTTGTCTTGACAGCACTGGCGTTAAGACAAAAATATTAGACTAAAAAGGAAGAAAAACAAAAACGATTTTTGTCACTGAAATGTGTGTTTTCTAATTTTAAAGACAACCACAAACCAAGAAAATACACACAAACAATTTACGAAAAAACACAATTAACGTCGACAATAATAATATAATAACTGTTTACTGTGAATGTTCTAGCTTTAGCATGTAGTGTAGCATTACATAGCTGCAAGCGTGTATGTAAATCTAAGACTTACTGCAGCGCCACCTATAGGCTCCAGTATTCTTACGTCGCTGATGCTGAGGATGAAGGTGATGAAGGTGTCCATCGGTCTCTGCCTGCGGACGATGGACACCAACGTCTGAATCTCAGACAAAATAAAAATGGGGGGAAAAAAACATGCGTTTTAGGAAATTATCACTGTGAAATTAAATAGAATCCCGTTGTGTCCACGGACGGTGACAACAGGAGGACACGGTAACGCGAGAGGGAGTGAACAGGAGGAGAGAGGAGCGTCTTTACTTTGTGCTCCGTGATGACGTCAGCACGCTGCCACGCCGTCAAGACTTTAAAGTTTACGTTCACATTTCCTGTGTAGACTTTCAGAATAGAATTTAACACAACTCTCCGCGCATTCGAAATATAAAAACGTGTGTAAACGCACAACCTTAGTTTAAATGTAGGATTAATGAATTATCGAATGTATTAAAAATTAAAAAAATAAAAATAAAACTCGAATGTATTAAAAAACATTTCGATAATTTTTTTTTCCGGATTAACAACTTTAAATCCATTACGATAATTATTTTTCCGGATTAACAACTTTAAATCCACAAGACCATTCTCGTGTATCTAAAATGTATGCAGTTCAAAATGTTCACTCATACTGTATTTTAAAATAATAATCATCTAATTAATCGTATCCATTTATGACAGAACCCCTACCATTTAAGTGTATAAGACGTGTAAAAAACAACCATAAATTACTTTACAACTAAATTCTAATTCAACTCAAGTTCGTCTGTTCACTCTTATTTTTACAAAACCAAAGGTAGAATTCTATTACTTCCTGTTTTAGTTAACCTTTAACGTGCTTGACTTTCCCGACGGCGTAACAGCTGTCGTTATTATTGGTATCGTTCACGGTAACTAAGAAATTGGTTCATCCCATCCCAATTATATTATGAGGGATAGCAGGGATAGGTATTTTCACATCCAATGTGCGTGCATTAATTCGCCAAATCCCTTACTGTACGATACATTTAACAACGTAACATCAACAACATTTTCTATTACAGACAATTCCAAGCTAGTTTGAGAAAAAATAGTTCGGCAAAAAAAAATCATATTTTTTGAAAACGTAACGTTGTTGTAATAGGTATGTTATTATTTAATATGTTATGGTATGTATAATATGTTAGACCGCCCTCGACGTAGTGGAAAGAGGGATGGACTGGCCATTGCAGGTTGACCGCCCTCGACGAAGAGGGATGGACTGGCCATTGCAGGTTCGAGTCCTACCTCGGCAAACGCCTCCTGTTGGCTGAAAAGAGCAGAACAAGCTGCATTCAAAGCCATTGCAAGAGGTTGACAGTTGTTAGGGAAAATCCTTTATTTATATATATATATATATATATACAATAATAAAATGAATAATCTATTTTAGAATGTCTTGACGTTATGTACATGCGGACATTTAAAATAATACTGTTTTTAGGCAGACATTTTGGACAAATCACCCCTTTGACAGATAACTGTATATATATTATATTATATTTTATATTTATATATATTTAAAAAACTAAAGACCTATCATTAATATTATTTTAATGTTACTATTTAAAAATGTTACATTATGTTACGTTGTAGTTTTTAAAACAGGGGATGGTGACGCCACTTCCGGCTCCGGTAGCAGGAAGCCGAAGAAGAACAAACTGCGGCGAAAGTGAATTACAAGGAATATATACAAAATGAGTGACGAATTTTATCTGGAGCTGAGTGAAAATCCGGTGCAGTTTGAAAATGCATCCAGTGTCAATAACGTTTTCTTCGATGAAGCGAATAAACAGGTAAACTAGTGTTAGCCAGGCTAATAACCTGACGCGGCTAACAGGCTAACCTAGCCACCGACGCAAACATCAACAACTAGCAAACTTTTAGCAAACTTACACACAAGCTTTCAAATGTTTGTAAATATTTAGTATACTGTGCCTCGTTAAAACCATTTACACTTCATTGTATTTGGGAACTTACCATACAAAGGGCTGTAACTAACAGTGATTTTTCGAACATTATAACTTTTCGTATTAGCACACCACTCATTTTTGTTTACTTTATGTGAGAAAATGTATCCCCCACCTAAGTTTACTTGATACTAAAGTTGCAAAGAGTCACTTATTTTGTCGAAAATGGTAGTTGACAACATGCCAAATGTACACTTATCAGCCAAATACATGTAATCGTTTAATTTGTTTATCTTGTATTTTGTCTTCAGGTGTTTGCAGTGCGTTCAGGGGGAGCTACGGGTGTTGTGGTTAAAGGTCCAGATGACAAGAGCAGCGTGGCCTTCAGGTACTGGATGGATTATTTTAAAACAATACCTTGTCAAGACTCTAAGGATACGATCACATAATTATGCTCCATATACACTTTCCTGTACAGAATGGATGATAAAGGAGAAGTGAAGTGCATCAAGTTCTCGATAGGAAATAAAATCCTGGCTGTACAGAGAACAGCTAAATCTGTGGTAAGTTTATTTACGCTGTGTTTACTGTTGTCAAATTAAACTTAGGAAGTGAGATGGCACTGATGATTGTGTTTATTACAGGATTTCATCAACTTTATTCCTGACTGTCCACATACAGAGTTTACACAGGAGTGTAAGGTACAGCATGTGCATTACTTACATTAATGGTAGGGGAAAACATGGAATACATTATCTCTGTTCCTTATACTGTTTGTCTGTCTTTGTTTTATTTCTTGTAGACAAAAAATGCAAATGTGTTGGGATTCTGTTGGACCAACTGGAATGAAATTGTCTTTGTGACTGACCAGGGAATAGAATTTTATCAGGTAATGTTACTCCACTTTAGGATCTTGGTACAAGAAGGACACGGAGACACTCACAGTGACAGTGTGTATGTTTTTATTTCGTAGGTGTATCCAGATAAGCGAAGTTTGAAGCTGCTGAAGAGTCAGAGTATAAATGTGAACTGGTACCAATATTGTCCAGAAACAGCCGTCATCCTACTGTCCACTACTGTGCAAGGAAATGTCCTGCAGCCATTTGTCTTTAAGGTGAGAACAGTTTTAGATTTTCTTTATTTTACTACTGGTACTGTAGTTGGAGAGATAAGTTCATAAAGTTCAAACATCTGTTCTAAATACTTTGGAAAAGAAATAATAAGAAATTAGCATTTTAACTATTGTTATATTTTAAAAAATGTTTTATTTTCTTGTTTTTAGAATGGGACCATGTCCAAGATGTCAAAGTTTGAAATCGAGCTGCCAGTCGTCCCGAAACCGGCCAAACTCAACCTTTCAGAGAGAGACATTGCAATGGCAACAATGTAAGCTAACCAGCTGAGTGCTATCCCTGAGGTGAGCAGCGAACATTGAATGGAAATGACTAACAGCGGCTTCTGTATTCTGTAGATATGGTCAGCTGTACGTCATGTATCTGAAGCATCACTCCAGAACAGCCAACAGTCCCAGTGCAGAGGTTGTGCTGTATCACCTACCCAGGTACAGTCCCTGTTCAAGTTCTTAAGAAAAGACTGACCACAACACAAAAAAAGATAAAATGAGCAAAAAGGTGAACAAGATTTTTTTAATAAGTAAAATGTTTATTTAAAAAAAAAATACAAGCAAAAACCAAGAAAAAAAAAAAGACGATCACCCAGAGGGTGAATCATTTTTTTGCAATCCTCAAAAAGATATTAGTGCAATAAATAACAATTTTGGCTGTTGACTTTCACTGATTTCTTTTTTTATTTTTTTTTATCCCAGTGATAATTACAGTTAACAGTTAATAGACTACCCTTAAAGTTAACAAACATTATTGTTTATTTGACTGTTTTTGTGACTCTTGGGTTTTGTGCATGTGTTCAGGGAGGGTGCCTGTAAAAAGAGCCACGTGTTGAAGCTGAACACGACAGGAAAGTTTGCTCTGAACATTGTTGACAACCTGGTCGTGGTTCATCACCAAAGCTCTCGGGTAACTCAGCTGGATTTATATCCCAACTGCAGTTGTACCAAGCAGCCACAGTTTTTTACATTTTTTTACAAGCCTTTTACAATTTCTCTGCTTTTCAATGTCCGTAGACGTCGCTGATCTTCGACATCAAGCTGAAGGAGCCTGAAGGAGCCGTCAACACACACCAGCCTGTCCTACCTGCTCGCTCCATACACCCCTACAGGATCCCACTCGCAGGTCAACACACACTCATGAACATTCAGATTGCTTTTGTTGTTTGTCATCATTTGAAAATGGCTGAATTATTTTACCTAAGTCCACAGTAAAAATAAATAATTTCACCAAGAGCACAGCGATGCCTCTATCCATGATAACTTCAAATATTCTAAGTAGTAATTGATCCTGAAAGCCAGTATTGTTTTTAAAAAATATATTTATTTGCATAAAGTAATTTATATTACATTACACAGAAAAAGGGAAGAAAAAACGCAGAGATCGAAACAGAAAATATCAGAGAGATATCATAATGACAATTTGTGCATATTTTAAGATGTAGCACCAGGTCAGGGTTCAAGGGTCACACTTGTCCATCATCTGTCCACTGAAAGCCAGTATTAACAATTATCTCTGTGGACTTTGGAGACGTCGACGTTGGTCACCTGACAGTTTCTCTTGTTCCCCTGCAGGTCCAGCAGTCGTTCCCACTCAGCCTCCTGTTTCCTGTCAACTTTGTATCCCTTAAAACCCAGGTGCAGATTATTCAATCTCATCTTTTGTCTTTATCCCTTTTTACTTGTCTATTGTGTTTGGTCATTTTTTTCCCCACATTGTCCTTGACTCCGGTCCAGACTCTTCCTCCTGGAGCGTCTTCCAGCCTGAAATCATCATCAGCGCCAGCGAAGGTAAAGACACATCATCGGTAAACATTAGACACTGTTGTATATTTGTGAAATAATGTGATGTGTGTTTGTGTGTGTGTGTGTGTGTGTGTCAGGTTAACAGTGGTACCTGCAGGTGAAGCTGCCTCCCACTGTGAACCTGCTGCAGGACAAAGGCAAACTCATGGACTTCCTGTTGAGACGCAGAGACTGCAAGATGGTCATCCTGTCCGTCTGCTCACAGAGTACGAGTCCCAAATAAAATCCTACACATCAGCAAATCTGAACAAACTTTATACACACACAGATAAAAAGGTACAGGGTTTCCCGAAAGTTTCTGCTAAACCCAAACATGAACGTTTGTCTTCTCAGTGCTGGAGGGCGGTGGAGAGAACGGGAACCTGCCTGTCGTGGCCACAGTGTTTGACAAACTCAACCAGGTTTACAAGGAATATCTGGAGGCAGAGCAGAGTAACCCTGCGGTAAAAGACACAACAACAACAACAACAACAACAACAACAAGACACAGACACACTGAACAGAATTAACATCTCTGTGTGTATGTGCGTGTGTGTAGGCGATGGAGTCCGGTCCAAGTCGAGGCAGTGCTGCTCAGAAACGTCCAATCATCACTCAAGCAGTCATCGACCAGTCAGACATGTACACTCATGTTCTTTCATCCTTCACAGAGAAGAAGGTAAATATGTTTTTTTCTAATGGAAGTGAACTTAAACTGTGATACTACACAAAGCAGTGTTCACGCAGCAGGTCGTCACAGCTCCCCATTCAAAAGTCCATAGAGGAAATCAGTGTTTTGTCTTTAGAGCAGAGGGTCCCTAACCCCTGACCCCTGCAGTGTTCATTTTGACAGAAAATGCTGATCCTAATTGTTTGAATAACGCACTATTTTTTTCTTAGTCTAATTATAGTCAACTTCTGCCAACCTCCCTGCAGTAGAACACAGGGAAAAATGTACTTTATTTGTTTTTACTAATTCATTTAATTTTAAGAAAAGTCATATCCATTTACTTTCTTCATTTAATGATAATCTGGTGATATTTAAAAAAAAGTTTTTTTAGAAAACAGTTAATGGATGGAGTTTTTTCCACAGACTTTGGTGTTAAACTATAATGAACTTTAGCTTTCTCCACAGACTTTGCTGTGGTGTTAAACTATAATGAACTTTAGCTGGAGTTTCAACAACTGCTGTAGCTTTGAATCATGTGACACTCACACAAATCCTGACATGTTTTTTTTAATTGTCATCTTGTTTGACTGTGTGTTTGTTTCTGCCACAGGGAGTTTCTCACAAGTTCATCATAGCTGTTCTGATGGAGTACATCCGCTCTCTGAACCAGTTCCAGATCACAGTTCAGGTTCGGACATCTCGTTTTTCAACATTTGGCTAATATTTAGCATTTCTGCTGTATCTTTCAACATCTTTTTGCAATATTTCATTGACGTGTGTGTGTGTGTCTCTCTGTCGCAGCACTACCTGTATGAGCTGGTGATTAAGACTTTGGTGCAGCACAATCTCTTCTACATGCTGCACCAGTATCTGCAGTATCACGTCCTCAGTGACTCCAAGCCTCTGGTGAGTTCAACATTTTTAATTTTTATTTCACAGAAGTTAACTGGAACAATAGTTTAAATAATACAACAGTCCCAGTGCAGACTACAAGCTCCTGTTGATATTGATAAGTGAAAAGTAGCTGATGAAGTGGCACAGTCGCCCCCTGCTGGTTGACAGTCGGTGTTGCGTGTTTTCAGGCCTGTCTTCTCCTCTCTCTGGAGAGCACATATCCTCCTGCTCACCAGCTCTCATTGGACATGCTGAAGGTGAGCAACTTTAAAACGGACCAAATGCTGCACGTTATGTCAACACTTGAGTCACATGTTTGTTTTTCAGCGTCTGTCTACGGCCAACGATGAGATTGTGGAAGTTCTGTTGTCAAAGCAGCAGGTTCTGGAAGCTCTGAGGTTCATACGCAGCGTCGGTAAGTCCATCTATACATCTATACATATATACATACATATATATACACATACATCCATCCATCCATTTTCATCCGCTTATCCGTTACGGGGTCGCAGGGGCAGCAGTCACCACCCGAATCACACTGCACCGTACCAAACCTTCCTGTAGGTGGTGAATCCACTGGAAGGTACCAACCGCCCTAACCGGGATTCGACCTTGCCCAGGAGGTGAACCCTGGGGTTCCCCACCAATGACAGAGACATTGCCTCTGGCCAAAGCGCCACATACACATACATATATACATTTATATATACACACACACATTTTTGCATGCATATATTCCTCTCTCACCATCCTCCCCCATTTCTCCCTCCCCCACAGGCAGTCATGATAACGTGTCGGCGAGAAAGTTTCTTGATGCGGCTCAACAAACTGGAGACCAGATGTTGTTTTACACCGTGTTTCGGTCGTTTCAACAGAGGAATCAAAGAATGAGAGGAAGTCCGGCCTTCAACCCTGGTTAGACACGTTCACAGACCCACACTGATGACACGGCTGTCCCTCGCAGCAGCAGTTGTTGAAAAATGGAAAAACTGATTGTCTTCTTTTTTGTGTTTTAGGAGAACACTGTGAAGAACACGTCCAACACTTCGTTCAGCTGTTTGGAGACCAGTCACTGTTGAAGCCGTCGACTGTCTGAATTGTGGCTTTGTTTTCTGTTAAGGTAAAATAAGCTTTGTTACAAAAAATATTGACCCATCTCTATGATACTAACAGAGATTTAAATGAAAATAACATTTCATCAGCGATTCTAAACTGTACCTGCAATAAACGGGTAAAGATGGAAATAGTAGAAACCAATTATATTACACCAAGGACCAACAATTAACATAATGGTTTAAATCTAAAGTTTCAGAATTGTTAGTCATCTTTTGAAATTAATATATATGTATGTATGTATATAAATAAATCTTTACATATATAACAGTGAGAAACAAAATGTATTAGACCTTCAAATATTAATTAAAAGGTGCACTCAAAAGTGTTTTCGTTTTTTTCATTCAAATGCTAAACTAGCATTTGTATACTGTGACATAACAGTTCCCAACCTCCAGACCGCTTCTTGGTTGTGTGGTACCAGCAGTTACTGCGGACCAGTTGCACCATGCTAATCTTTAAATGATCATTAATTTAAATCGCCAGATTATTAAATGAAATAAATTAGTAAAAATAAAGTACATTTTCTCACTGTGCCCCAGAGCATCTCAGTACCAAATGACCTACGAACTGGAGGTTGGGGACTCCTACTGTAACCTGTGTTAAACACTACAAAGTTTTCAATAATATTGACCTACATGTTACAGATTTTCCAAACATATGCATCAAAAGTAACTTGCTTTACGATTAATTTGTTTTTTTTAAAGTCTTGAAAAACTAAATGAAACTCATAGCTAAGTATTTTAAGGCAAAT